CCCCTCTGGGATGCAGGGGGATGCTTACACCAGGAGGAACTTGGCACCAGCCTCTCCTCGGCACTCGTAGTCGCTCGGGTCCTCCCGCTTGGAAAGCCCGTAGGCCCCCAGGGCCATTCCCGTCACGTTGCAGGCGAGGATGAGGAGGATGATGGAGCACAGCACCGTGCCAGCGATCCACCTGGGGGGCAGAGCAGCAAGGCACGGCCTCGAGAGGGCAATCCTGTCTGTTTGATCCTGAGAACCAGCTGAGGAACAGCTTTGTACCACAAGATCACTATGTAAAGGAGAGCATCACTTTGGAAAAGGAAGGGCAGCACTCAAAGTGCTTGATCAACAACGACTTCAAAGTCTCTAAATCCATTAACCTGATGTTACCACAGCTCAGTTTAGCAGCACACTGAGACTAACATTTCTCAAAGTTGCTTCAAGTTGCTGCAGTTTGTGTTTGTGTTTGTGTCTCGGCTGGCTTAGACGGAGCTCATTTCCCCACAGCAGCCCTCACATATGGGGCTGGGGCACCAGCTGGGGCTCAGCAGGGCTCAGCACCCACCCCTGCTGCACCCCCTGCCCCCCTCCCTGCTCCCCAGAGTCACCTGTAGTGCTCGAAGCGCTCCACCTCCCGCAGGTAGGGCCGGCTCCGCTCCTCCGCCGTCACCAGGGCTTCGCTGGCGGGCCGGGTGTAGTCGGGGAGGGGGAAGCTGTCAGCGATGGACTGCACCTTCTGTGCTGTGTGGGACAGCTCCTCCCGCAGATCTGCGGGGCCAAGGCTATGCTGGAGGCGTGGATGGTCTACTCTTCCCATCCTGTGCCCTCCCCAAATCAGGGTTTGTCCCTTGGAGAGTGTCCCTGGGTGCACCAGCTCACTCACCCTGGATGACCTGTGCCATCCTCTCCACGGCCAGCTCCGGGATGGAGTTGAAGGTGCCATTACCCTGCAAGGAAAGAGGGGGTGCTGAGCTGGAGCTGCCTGTGGGTGCTGGACCCCCCTGCTCCACCCCGATCCCCCCCAAACCTGGCGAATCATCTCAGCAAAGTCGCTTCGGGGCAGCCCGGCCATGGCCTTCAAAACCTTCTCCACTGATGGCACCTTGGGGTGGGATAATCACAGAATTACAGAGGTTGGAAAAGACCTCTGAGATCATTTGAGGCCAACCTGTGACCCAACCCCACCTTGTCACCTAGCCCATGGCACTGATGCCACATCCAGGCTCTGCTCAAACCCCTCCAGGGATGGAGAATCCACCCCCTCCCTGGGCAGCCCCTTCCAGTGGCTGATCCCTCTCTCTGGGAAGAACTTCCCAATGTCCATCCTAAACCTGCCCTGGGGTAGCTCAAGGCTGTGCCCTCTTGTCCTGCTGCTGGTTCCTGGGAGCAGAGCCCGACGCCCCCCGGCTCCCCCTCCTGTCAGGGGGTGGCAGAGAGTGAGAAGGTCCCCCCTGAGCCTCCTCCTGTCCAGGCTGAGCCCCCCCAGCTCCCTCAGCTGCTCCTCCCAGCACTTGTGCTCCAGCCCCTTCCCCAGCCTCGTTGCCCTTCTCTGGACCCGAAGCAAACGAGAAGGAACCCGTGAGCCCCGGGGGGGTGGTGGGAGCCCATCACCCCGTCCCACCTTGCCGTAGTCAGCTCCCAGCTCCAGGCTCTGTGCCCTGCCCAGGGCGCTGGCGCAGGAGGTGCAGCGGGGGTCGTCGAGCAGCGCGACCACCCTGCCCCGCCGCTCCCGCAGCGCCGGCTCCAGCTCGGCCCGCGCCGCAGCCAGCGCCCGCGAGGTCCCGTCGAGAATCTGTAAATGGTGCAGCGAGGTCTGTAGGTCTTAAAGAGAAAGCCCAGGGCTAGTTCACGCTGCTCCGGAGGCTCGGTCACCCCGGCTCCCCCCGCTGGAGCCGCGCTCCGGCCGTACCTGCAGCCCTGTCCTGCAGGTCTGAGAGCGCAGCGTAGGTCATGGCCTTGAGCTGTGAGTGGATGGAGAGCCCCACGCTCCGGCTGAGGCCTGCAAGGCACCGGGAGCCCCGTCAGCATCCCCGTGGGAAGCTCGGGGTGCGCCCTGCCCGGTGCCCCGCGCGGCGCTTACCGCCCAAATCGGAGATTATCTGCTTGCGGGGCACCTCGAACTTGTCCACCACCATCTGCACGCCCTGCCGGGAGAGAGGAGCCGCTCAGCCCCGCGCGGGGAGCAGCCGCGGGGAGAGGAGGAAGCCCCGCGCTGGCCATTCAAAACGCATTTTTAATGCAGCCGCGTCACCTCCTCTCGCCTCCCAAACCGCTTTCCCCGAGGGAAGCGCGGCCACCTCCGGGCAGCGCCCTGTGCCGGGGGCGAGGCCGCCCGGGGACTCACCTGGGGCACGTTGGCCAGGTGCTGCCGCAGCGTGCGCAGGGTGGTCGGCACAGCCCCCAGCCCCGGCTCCATCTGCCCCTTGACCCGCTGGCTGGTGACAAAGGCGCAGGTGACGCTGATCCTGCCGGGGATGAGCGGGTGGTCAGGGGGCTGCCCCGCAGGACACGGTTCCCCTCCCTCCCCCCAACACGCGGGGCGTTCCGGGGGACTCACAGGATGACGAGGGAGGTGAAGGACAGGCAGGCCAGCAGGCAGTGCCGCCGGCAGCCCAGAGAGCGCCGGTGGGCGCGGATGCGACCCCCGCAGCGCCGGCGGCTCCGGCAGTAGCAGAAGCACATCCCGGCCACCGGCACGGCCACGGTGAAGAGCAGGGCCACGGCGGCACAGACCACATAGCCCAGCTCGTACTGCACCACCTGAGTGACGGGAGAGCTTCGTCAGTACCGGGGCACCGGGTTTGGGGTGCTCCGTGTGCTCCGTGTGCCCACGTGCCCCGGTCCCGGGTGGATAACGCTCCCGTGGGATCCGGAGCCCCACATCCCGGCTCACCTGCGATGTCCGCACTGATCCGGGGTCGTTCAGGGCTGCCCGGAGCAACTCTGCAAGATAAATCATGGCACTGGTGAAACAGGTCCCACCCGATGCTCCCCAAACCTTCCCGGTGCTGCTGCCCCGGGATGGAGGCGACGTCCTCCTCCGTGGAGTGGCTCAGAACCCCTGGAGCAGCTCCGGACATGGGAAAAACCATGGGATCCCGACACCCAGAGCAGTGGGATCCCGACACCCACAGCAATGGGATCGTGGCACCTCCAACAGTGGGATCCTGGCACCCGCAGCAGTGGGATCGTGGCACCTCCAATAGTGGGATCCTGGCACCCATAGCAGTGGGATCCCGGCACTTGCAGCAGTGGGATCCCGGCTCTCCGGGCTCAGGACTCACCCGTGGGCAGGGGGTTCTGCTGGATGAGGTCCAGGCAGCGCCGGACGAGCCCGTAGAGGGGGTCGAGCGGGCTGGGCACTCGGTGCAGCGCCGGCACCCGGATCTCGGCGTGGCGGTCGGTGAAGCGCAGGACGGTGGCAGGGCCGGCGGGGTGACACTGCTGGGTGCCCGC